AGATCTGAAGTCTGTTTCTTCCTTAGCCTGCGGAGAGCAGACTCCAGTTTCTCACCTCCTGCAAGTGTTCCCTAACCACGATGCTATAAAAGATCTGCGAGAAGCAGAGATGAGAGATGTTTTCGATGCCTTCTTGTTAACAGGGTCACTGGAAGGCAAATGGCAGTGAGCCAGAAGGAGAACAAACAAATGAAAATCAAGCCAGAAATGGGATACATGCAAGGGGGTTTTCTGTGATTTTTGTTTGGTTTGTAGGGTTTTTTTGTCAAAATTTAGAACAGCTGTTGGCTGCATTCATTTACTCTGAGGGCTGACTGATTGCCAAGGCCGTGGTCAGGGACATCACTTTTGCACCCCAACTGCGCATTCTTCCGCATTGTCATCAGAACATTGAGAGMTGGGCATGCCTATATTTTCATTTATCGTGATTCCAAAATTTTGGTCTTGGTCTCTTCTAGACAGAATCTTGTTGTATTCCATCTGTTTCGTTCAACTTTTTGTAARGTCTACTGCAGATGTATTTCTGGGAGCATCACAAGGTAATCAGCCAGCGCACACCATGAAATCAGATTTATTCTGCAATGAAGCAAAACTTGTTTCATGCAAACATGGTAGTTTATAAAGGTAAGGTCCACGTAGGAAGGCTGTTCTAACACCACCATTTCTTGTGGATCTATCATACATCTCAGCTTGCAGATTGTGAGTCACAGTAAGCAGATCCCGAATAACATTTAGAATTGTTCACAGATAACACCCAGGATTAAATTTGCTCCCCAACATTGTGAATAATGACCAAATTAAAAAAAAAAAAAATCTTCTTGGACAGTTCAAACTTTAAACAGTTCAAACGCTGCATATTCATTTCTACTCCTAAGCAAAACTGCAAATCATGTTGCATCAAAGTATGTTATCTAAGAATAACACAGCTGATCATTCCAAAAATTTTGATTCCCACTTTACCTTCTAGGTAAGGATGTTCTATACAATTTCTTAATGTTATGATTCACATTCCCTCACTCTCACTCCACAGATAATCTCTTCAGGTTAGTGTTTTTAATTACGGGCTTTGGCTATGCTGATTTATACCATTTAAGAATTTGGACCGCTGAGTTCAAGAGGACGACTAATGGAGTCAGGTGCTCATCAACTTCAGTCACTGTATCAGGGTCTGATTCTGCTTGTATGTGGGGACAAAAGAGCGAGATCGGATGAAAGGAGAGGCAATTAGTTAACCACATTTATGAAAGAGACAAATAGAGAATGCAAACGCACCTGCGTCTTTAAGGCTTCTTTCACTGTTGCTGTATGCAACAGAAATTTCATTTTACTTTATTCTCAAAAACAAACATATTGAATGGTTATTGTGTCAGTGCCAGGATGTAAGTATCAAAAATCACTCTTCCTTCTTGTTTCCTTGCAGGTCAAGGTTTGAAAGGAAAATATGTGTATAAATAAAACAAGCACAGATCAAATGTAAAAATCCACCTGCYCCATTTATTAATGTGGTTCTGCATGCATTAATATAACTTCAGGAATTAGGTAGCATATGAAAGTACAGCTCAGTAAATTTAAACATAATTTTGAAGAAAGGTACGTTTGGGAATATGAACAACAGCGAGATTAAACATAATGTAACCAAGAAGAATACAACAAAATGGAGTGGGGATTGGAATTTCAAACCCTAAAAAAAAAATTGCTTTTTGAGAAAAGCTGTTGCCCCAGGTGAAGCTCCAGCRCCTGCTGCTGCTCCGGCGTTCGCAGGTGCTCCTGCCTCCTCTTTGCCTCTGAGACAAACACCTGCTAATATTAGCTACCTCCTTGCCGTCCCCACCAGAAGGAGCTTAGCAGATGATATTTTCATTGGATTGTGCAATAATGTGAAGTCTTCTCTAATCTTATTTGGCACATTACCCAGTGGATTTATGGAAATCCTCCGTGCACTTTAACCCAAAGGTGCAGCAGCCACCTCGGCTCCACGTGCCGCTGCGTGAGACAGTGGGCAGGAGATGTGCCCTTGACTTCAACGGCTCGCAGGAGCTTTGCCAAGGCCTACGAGCAACCTGTAAATCCGAAGGGAATGAAGCCTAAAAATCAGGCTTCCCAACACATCGCACTTGGGCTGATTAGCAAGGAGAAAAAAAGAATTAATAATGAGGAGGAAAAAAAAGATAGCCAGAAACTACAAACACCAGGGAGCCCATTTCAGTGTTACTTGGAAATAAAGCAACAATAGCAAGACTAGTCATCTCATTAAATAATAATTTGTTCTTTCCCTTTAATGCTGCGCATGTTCTTTAATGGTTGTGACTTCTTAAGACACTGTGACTATCATTTCCACATATTTATCAATAGAWAACTTGTATAACTTTTAATGAGTCCTTGAACTGACCACCTGTGAACAAGAGGTATTGTAAACCTTGTCTCTCGAAAAATGAAAAATAATCTGAACACAAGATAGGCTTGATGTGGCTGATCTAAAGTGAGCCAGGAAATTACTGGCAGACAGCTCATGCCATGCTGCTTGMAAAATTAAAACATACCTGCCACTCCTGTCCAATAGCAAAGAGTGGAAGGTGTTTTCATTTCTCACATTTGGAAAATTGCAGGTAATTGGGGAAGGAGAGAAATCCCAGTTTATTAGAGGAGAATTCTTGCAGCGGCACAGGCGTATTGCTCTATTTTCCCATGGTCAGATTCCAAGCACTGGAGGAACTTTCTAGCTGTTAGAACTGGTGTGATGATCTTCTATGATGATTCTTTTATGTGCRCGTGACTTCTAACGAGGCTGTCTCATGATAAAAGCTGCATTTATGCTTTAAGCAAATACTAGCTTTTATATGTAATTATTTTAGTTTAACTTGCTGCAAAAAATCAGGAAAAAAAGTGAAAAAAAGCATCATTTCATTTCAGCTGAAGGGTTTTGTAAAATCTTTACCAATTGTGACAAAACTGTTGATGTTGCAATATAAAATAGAATCTTACTTCCTTTTATTCTTGTGTATTACCTTGTGTGTTACCTGAGATTGTCTTCTTTCATTTTGATTTTATTGTTCTGTTTAAATATGAATACTTTGTTTAAATTTCATATCCTCTGGCAAGTGTTGCCCCAAGAAGAGATTTCTTTTCCTTTATCAGCACCATGAAATAACACTGTTTCAATATTTCTACAGTAAATTTTTCAAAAATGACCAACAAGTTACATTTTATACATAGAATTTTCAAATACTTTGAAATCAAAGTACATTCTAACCCTTTTTCAATGCAAAGCATTTAAGTAACATGTTTTCCTTCGACAAAGTTTCGCTTCAGTAGTTGTAGTGAAATTTTTTGCTTCAGTATCTTCMGAGCTAAGAATCAATTGCAAAAAAAMCTGCATTTTTTTTCCAAGAAGCTTTTTGTAAGKTAAATTTTRAAAATTAAATTTTAGGTTTRCACACTATACTTTAATTTTTAGTTTAGAGGTTATCCACCAACTTTGAATATACTGAAGGARCAAATTGCATGCAACCTATCTTGAAGAATCCTCTGCTGTGCCATTTATAACAAAGACTATAGGCATGCATTTCCCCATATCTCCTCTGCAAGGGAAAGTGGTAAAGAAAACAGGAAAAGCGAGAAGGAAATACCTTCACAAACACCCAACCTGATTTCTGTAGAAATAAGGGAGCACACAAGGTAAATCAGTCCTGCTCAGATAGGCAGCCCAGGAAAGCAATGTTTTACTGCTTTGGACAACTCCTTGGAAATACCTTTTCCCTAATGAACAGCTTTTGCCCATTTTTTCCTGGGTTCTAGCCTAAACTAAGCTTCTCTTTAACCTTAAGCATAAATATTCTATTGTTCCTCTATATTCCTCTGCATTAACAAACACTGTACAGGCAGTGCAAAGAAGTTATTATTGTATTTCTGTTGTGGTGCTGTCTAAAACCCCATGCTCAGCRTTTTCCAAAGGGCCATCTTTGTCCTGATGAATAGACAGTCCCCAGAAGTCCATACTGAAAAATGACTGCATCCTTTTAAATTATTATCTTGGTGGCACAGAATATTCCGTGGGCCTATTGAGTGATTTGCCGCACCAATAATAGTGTCCTTTAGATTTCATACAGTTTTAATGGAAATATGTGAAAACCTGGAAATACGGCTGCGCTCCCCTTTGTGAAACCGGTCTCAGAGGAGCCAAGCCTCTCGTTCATCCATCTGACATTCAGATGAATATAGAGCAGGAGGAGCTGTCCTGCATTTTCTGCTCTTCATGTCATATGCAATCCCSCAGCGCTGAATCGCAGCTCCCGACTCTTTCTGCCTCCAATTGTGCCTTTGCTTGTGTTGCATTTATTTACCATGTCAACTCACCCCTCTCTCAACAGTTTTGCTTTTCTTCCCCTTCAAACAAGTATGTCCTTTTCTGTATGGCAATTTTTGAAATGTGTGCTCAAGTCAGGGGTTAGGCAAACCTTATCAGTATGCGCGTGTGCGTATCTGTGTGCACTTGTGTATGTAATTCAGAAATTTTCTCTTACTGAGCAGTACGGTTGCATCGGAAAGCTTGTAAAAGCACAAGTGGAACAACAGCACAATACATCAAAGCGGGGACTGAGATTCTTTTTTTTCCTGTAATTTTACTTGAATGMATCACAAAGTGGCAATTATATGGCACATTTTTCTTCTAAAAAATTGGCCTCGTTTTGCCTTTAGACAACAAAACAGCATGAAGAAACCATACAGGCACAGCTTGGTTCCAAATAACCATGTTTACCTAATATACACAAATATGCCAGGCCTAACTATATAAATATTGCTATTCTGACTTATTTCTGGAAGTTTCTATAACATATAACATGGTGAGCAGAAAGGAACATGCACTGTTTATGTACACTGTAGGAAAAGGCAGCAAATCTCAAGCATAAACATTTGTAATGCGATAGGGAAAGAAAAATGAAGTTTCTATGCAGCACTGTATAGTTTAAAACATGTAATGGAGAGATGCATCTCTTAAATTTATGCAACATGCACATTGATTTACCAAAAAAAAATTATATTTATTCTGAATTGATTTCTAGCATATTTCTTTTTTTTCTCTCCTTGCTTTTAAGATACTCAAAGGATTCTCAGGGTAAGATGAAACTTTTTAGAACATTATTGGTTATATTTTTAAAGAATTCTTCGATTTTTCCCAGCATTTAACACTGCTGCCTGAGCTTTAAACCTTTGATAACCTTGGAGGATCCTTGAGATGATCATTCCTCATTCACAAGCAGGACACCAAGAATTCTCTCAAGTTTTGGCTTCTGGAAGAAAAAATAAAAATTTATAGGGCCCAGTTCACCTCTTATCTGGAGCAGAGATGAGTGCTGAGATCAGATGCAATGTCCAAAGCCCATACGGGCTTGCAGCCCCAGCTGTGCTCAGGTGGTTCCACATAATTACTTTTATTCCTCTCCCTTTGTCAGTTTGGTAAATTTTAATGTCTCTCTGCATTCTGGAAAAATCAGTTTCTCACCAAACAGCAGAGTCCCATTTTCCTTTGGCCATTTTCCAAAGGTCAGAAAATGCAAAGAAATTCTGGAGTGACAAAAGGAAATTTGAAAAAAGTTTAAGARGAAAAAATTAAATAGCCAGCTTTTTATTGCACATATATCCCCTAAAGAAATGTAAAACTCTAAAACCTTTTCTAAAAAACCTTTTCCAAAATGAGATCTAAAGAGTCCAATGCTAAGTTATTTGGGGGCATATTTTACACTTCTTCTGTAGAAAATGAATTGCTTGAACTATCAACCTGTTCACCCACAAGTACTTCTCCCTCTTTTTTAATTAAAAACAGTTCTTGCTACAAATTGAGGCAACAGAAAAAAACACCAAGAGGTCTAATACATCCAAAATATAACTTAGGCTTAAATTTTCTTTCAGTGGATATACTGAACTGATATCTTTAATACACAGCAGTCAAAAAATAGTGGAGGATATTTAAGAGAAGACCTCTCCATGAAGAAACCTTAAAAAAAAATCTCTCTAAATATCTATTTAGTTAGGAGAACTGATGAATAAAACAGATAATCTTCAGGGCACTTAAATAACCATTTTCTTCAAAAAGCAGTGGCTACTGTGGGTGCTTCTCTGCAAACACCTCTTTGACTTCTCATTCCAATACTCTGATATTAAAGGAGCAATTTCATTCTCCACTGAAATCACTTCCATCATGGATCTAGTCTAGGTGAAATTCAAGCTGAAGAATTAACTACTTCTTYGGGTTTGTGTTAATTGAATAACAAGAATAATCTCCCCCAGCTGTGATAATGGGATGACTCCAGATCAGTCCTAATTCCTAGGCCTATTTTTTTTTTTATTTCTTTTCCAGAAATTGTAACTGTTTGACCACCTGGGTCCAATTGCTGCTGAGCTCCTGCATCATACACATTATTATTGAACCAGTTTCGTTTAGCTTCTACAACACTTTCCTATAACTCTATCCTTATTCAGACCAAAAGCAAGAACCTTCCCTTTATTCCTTTCCTCCACCCAAACGCCTGGCAAGATAAGGATAAATAAGCACTGCACTCTAAAGGAAAAGCACAGATTTTCTCTCTTTTAAGCAAGCAGAGAATATTTGTGCGAAGAGAGGACAAGGGTCAGGACCGGCAGAGCTTGTACCTGGAGTTCTCTCTTCAGGCCATTCAACAGGGCTGCAGGTTTCCTAATGCGCTGGCAATGATCCATCCCCTGCCCTGATGAGCCAAGCCATAGAAGCCAATTAGGTTATAACCTCAAGTTGGCTCAAACAGAGGTCCCACAGGTGAACTCTGGCCACTTTATCCGGTAAGCTGCCCTGGAGCAGGGGGCGGTTTTAATAGGAGCAAGTTGTTTTTGTCAAAAATCATGATTTCCCTGGGAATCAGAATGGCATYCAGCTATGATGAAGAAAAAAAATCAATTAAATTACAAAAGTTAGTTGTTATGCAGCAGAAAAAGCAGTTTTATTTGAATTTCACTTTCATTGCATTGTTCTCCTTCAGGTAGATCCTGGAAGAATATATTTCTCATTGCATCATGTATTTAGCAAAGCTTCTATTTTATGTTAAACTGTTTATGTAGTATAAAACTGGAATGGTATTTGGAAAAACAATAACTGCCTGGTGCATTTGTATTGGTTAAAAGAGACAAAGCACAAATGGATACTATCAGTGGAAACTATTTCCACTATAGTCATCTACTTTCTTAACATTTGGCAGACAAAAAGCCATACAAATATTAAGATACAAGTATGAAACCTTGACTTCTGTGGCTTGGCCAACAACTCCATCAAAAGCAGCAGGGTGACATTGAAGAATTGCCCTGAAGACTTACAGGAATGGGAGAATTTCTTAGTGCTTTCCTGGTTGAGGAGAGATCTGCTGGGGGGAGCAGGCACATAGTACATGGCCATGACTGCTTACATACTAATTAAACTAGTTTTATATTTTGGTACTGGAAAGATGGTTAAAACCATCTGTTTCTTTTTAAATTATTCTACTAGCTAGGAAGCAAATGYGATGAAGCTAACATCTAGGTGATAAACAGCTTTTTTTTGTCTGCAGCTGAACCAAAAGACACAARTAATATTTGGATTACATAGTACCTAAGTGCAGATGCAAAGTTTTATTGAAATGCAGTGAACAAAGTGATCTCAGGTTAATCTGTAATATTTCGTTCCAGCCAAAACAGTGCTTTAATTTCTCTTGCACTTTATTTAAGCTTCCCTCCCTCTGCATATTTTAACCCTTAGAACAGGGAAGTAAATAATGTATTTCAAAACAAAGGGTGAAAGAAATTTCCCCAATGATTTTTTTCTTCTTTTTTAGCTGAAAGTAATTGTTGAATATGACCCCATCTGAGGCCTCTTACACATCAGGCAATCAACAGGCTGATGCCTCTGTGGAGCGTTCCAGCAAATTACCTGGCACAGCCATCGAGGAGGAGCTGCACCAGAGCACATCCCTGGAGCTGAATTAGAGGTTGAAAATTGCCTCCACAAATCCCTTTCCTTATCGTCACTTATTGTCCCACATAAGTAGTTATCATTTTAATTGACAGTATTGCATGAGGGAAGCAGAAGCATGAAAAACATGAAGTGCAGCATTCAGAGACAAAACATAGCTCCATTGAATTATACCTTGTCAAGAGGGAAAAATAGTCAGGTCGGCTGACCATAAGTCAGCGAGTCTGAAGGACCAAAATGCTGGAGTTACCTGGATTCAGAAAGTTAATATAGGCAAGCATGAAGCTCTCTTATTCCGACTCACCTTTTTCCTCTATTTTTCTTTGGGATTGGTTGCAAAGAAAGGGTAAAAGTCAGAAAAGGAAAAACAAAAAGGAGCTAGAATATAAACAACAACACCTAGTATTTGCAGAGTCCTGAAGACTGATAAAGCAACAGGAATTATTCCCTAGGGACTGGCTTAAACCCAACAAGAGGTAGCAGCGGTGGCAGCTTCAGTGGCCTCTGCAAGGTGAATTTGTGGCCCCCATCCCTTGTAACAGCCTTTAAGGGGATCGTGGGCTCTGTAGTGGCCTGAGAACAAAGATGAATTTCATATTCAGGATATACCCATCGCATGAAGGTTTTGATGCCACACATGATATTGCTTAGTAATTTTAATCCAGCAAATGCTAAAGATTCAGTACTTTTTCAATAGACAAAAAAAACATAAAAAACACATATGCCTACCTGTAATCATACTTCTATCATCCTCTGCTGCAAAGGCACACCAGAATACCCAATTCCTTTATCTTTCTGGCCTAGAAACTCCATAGTTTCTACAGCCCTATGAAACATATGCATCAATAAAGTGAAGAAAAAAGTGCTTATTTTCTCTCTTTTTAAAGTAATAAAACACGCAAGGCCAAAGGACTGAAAGAAATAGAAGCGTGTTAATATGACTGAGCTGTTTGACTTTAGCGTCTGTCTTTTGTTGACAAGGCAGAAATACCTTACAGTGCAGATTCTAATGGCGATTAAAGCTATTTCTGTCTTCAAGAATAAAGATAAAAGAATCTATACTTTAGTTTTCCACTGAAAAGAGATTTAAAAAGTTTACATCCACTATTGATTGATTTATTTATTTAATCCATCCACTGATAGCACAAAAGCTTCTGCTTTAGCACTTTACAGTTGATGCTTGACTGAACTACAGAGCTTACTTTTTTATGCAGCCCTGAAATCAGCTTCAACACTGAAGCAAAGGCCACGACACTAAAGATTTTCAAGTAGACAGTAAAAAAATATTGGTTTCATGTGTATCAGTGCAGTAGGTGTTGAAAATATAAAAAGGAGGGCCATTGAGCAGAATAATAGATAGAAGCAGTTTTTAATCTGCACAAGTCCATACATGTTTGTATCTCCAAATATAAGACATGCATAAGCACATATCAGTATCTTCAAGTATTCAATATCTTTTTATATATATGTATGTATAAATGCATATCTCCCAATTCTTAGCTCAGCTTCTTTGATGTTTCAGTCAAAATACCATTTTCCCTTCCCTTGTGGCAAGCTATAAGAGTTAAGCCTTTCTTAAAAGGCCCTCTTGTGCTGCATTTTATTTCTTCTGCTTGATGTGTTTCGTTTTGTTCTTGAAGTAGAAATGCACAAGTTCCAGAAGAGATTTATGCTTCCCTAAATCAGCTGCATTTAATGTATAACAAGTTCAGCAAGAGACAGCTTGGAAGGAAGAGCCAGATTTCTCCTGCTGCCCCAATGGGGCTGACAAGTACATGGCACCTACAGGAAAGGCAATCCCAGCACAAAGCTCAAACCTGAAGGCTGCTGATGCTCCTCCAGGATTTACTCATTAGGGCAGGTGTCTTGCTGAGGAATGGCCTCCACAGCAGGTCAGACTTCAGGGGTCAAGCTTGCACTAGCAGAAAGATGCGAGAGATTTGTTTTCTTGGTACAATTATTCATTAAATATACTCTGTCACTGCTTATTGCTAACAATAGGTGCTTTGAAGGGAAGGATGCAAAATATGAARTGTACATCACTCTATACAGCTTATAGATGAATAAGCTGAGGTAAATCAAGAACAAAAGGTCTCATAGTTCAACATTAATAAATGAATGGAAACAAGTTTGAGAAACACTCTCACACCTGGCTCTTTATTATGCTAAACACATTAACAGACCTCAGGATTGACAACCATTGCCAAAAACAGGGCATTTTTGATGCAAAGCCCATTAATGTGACCAAGTTTGGGCTGGATATTCTGAGGAGTAAGAGTTCTTTAGCCAAAGCCTGTTTGTGCTTTAAAAGTGTCATATATAAGCTTGATTAATGGAAATAGATTAGAAAGAAATATATTTTAATAGAGAGAACGCACTTACTATTGCGTTATCGGAGCACAACTGACATGGGACACAGTCTAAACAAAAGTCAGCAGCTACTAATGAGGCTTGTTAGTGATGCTAATCTATGTAAATGTTATTAATTGAGAACATCTATCTTTTATCTCCAACATTTGGTAATCAGGCAATTAAAAAACAATGACATTCCCGGCGGTTGTTCTCCCAGTTAAGAAAAAAAGTGATCAAAGAGTCCTGAATAAGGAAAGGGAAAGTCCCTTATCAAGAGCTAGGCCTTGCCTTGGGCTACCAGGCCTCATTAAAGGCAGAAAAGCTCTGTTGATCACCAATTAACCTGATTTGTAGGAACTCTGATAAAGACCTCAAACAACATGAGTTTTCTTAACTATAATAAATGACACAGTTTATTGACAAAAATAAAAACGTTCAGGTTGAAAAAGAACATAAAGGAGCTATTCAAATGGGATAGCCCCACCACACACCAGTTCTGAAAGACGTGGGATAGGTTTAACTTCCCTGCACTGGTGGCACATTCTCAATGCCAGATACAGGCAGACCTATTAACAGCCAGACACACAACAACCAAATATATACATATTTGGTAGCTGTCACAAATTTCTGTCATCTCTAGTCATAACAGACAGCAGATTGTATTCATTATGTATGTACTGTGCTCATGAATGGAAATGTAGTGCTCTAGGGTGATCTCCATCACAAAGCACAAAAGTTAGAAAAAAAACGTTTTCTTGAAACTTAATTAGTGGACATTTTGCGATTATACTTTTTTAATCTTAGCAGTTGCTTTAAATTATCCCTAGTGTAAATTTCCATGTGCCTTTTTAACCCATTCCTCACTTTCTAGGGAATATATTTCCTACTCCCAGGTATTGCTTAGAGCATCTCGACTAGTAGGTAACTGACTGCAGTGCAACTGTCAACTATAATTGTAATTATTTCCAGCAGCTCATTAATCCACAGGGTGATGGTCTGGCCCTGTTTGTCACTCAGGAGAAAGAGGGAATAACTACCAAATTTAAAGCTTAGGCCTAGAGTTGGATCAAGTGGCACATCTGTAGTACCAAACCCGAATCTTCTCTATATTTAAAATTCGGGGTTTTTTTTTTTTGTTACATCATTGCTACTATTCCACTAAACCTTGTAAACATGTTTGTTAGCTATTTAACTGTTTATATGTTTAGGGATCTTGTCAGCATTAGTGTCAGGCAAAATTATACCCTAAATTTACTTTGCTTTATTAACAACGTTTTTGAGTTGTGCTTTAGGTCAGTGACAAATAGTTTTTGAAATAAGACTAGACTTGCCTTATTAGGTCAAACAGGTAGCTGATACTCATGATCCTTATGCCCAGATCTGACTCTGGGRTGGAGGCAATCATTTCCAAGAATCTCTTCCCTAATAAAGCATTTGCTTTCTCACATCCTCCATTCTCCTCATATATTCATGCCTATTCAATCCAGACCTAAAGCAGTGAAAAAAATCACATGGGAATGTCCAAGACCTTTAAATAAGAGTAGACTTTCTGCTTTTTAAGCTAGAGTAGACTTTCTTTTAAGAAAACTTGAACTATAACAAACATTGATACGCCATGCTTGGTGGAGAATGGCAGGTATCAGAAGACATCAGTGGATAGACAAAAGGATGCATAGCAGCAAGGATACTATGAAGAGTCAACATCTTGGAAGTTCAGACCCCAAGTTTTTTTTAATTGTTAAAGTGAAATTTCAGGTCCTTAGTGTTGTGGCATGTATGTATTTTACAGGTACCATCTCAGAACTGGTCTGAGATGATTTCCCTTCCTCCTCCTTTTTTATCCCCTAAACCAAGACATTAGTGCCCAAAAGATTTAACAGCTAGTGATACCACAAGTGAGCTTTTATCTTAATATCTAGATCTGAGCATGTTTTACAGCAAAGTTAATTATCTCAAACCAGTGATTTTGCTTGGTCTTTGATTTAACTGTTCAAGCAGATGCCACCATAGAGCTTCTATTATGCACAAACAATTGTATTTCACTGGTAAAGTGCCCTGCATGCCTACCTCATTATTAGAACCCAATTAATTTTCCTTTGCAATAAAATGGAAAGACTTAGAGCTAAAAGAAGGCTAATCTAAAGAAATTTGGACCAACCGCAAAGAGTACCTAGAAGAACCATAAAGAATGAAGAGGAGTAATTATGTGACACATGCACGCACACACACACAGAAAGAACATGAATTGAAGTTTCAGAAACAGGCCCAGGGAGCAGAGATTGCAATCTGGCTAGATTGCTAAAGTAGTACTAAGATGTCTTAATTATATGATTGATGTGAGCTTCAAAAGAAAACTCAGTGTTCACAATGGCTACAAGGTTATGAATGTTATCTAGTGTATAAAGAAGACTACCACTGAAAGCAAACACTACACGTGAAACTTGAGACCTTTCTCTTTCCGAAAGAATCAATAATGCCTTATTTTTAATCTATATTATGTTTAAGAAAATGTGATGACATCCCTGATTGAAGATCACACAAATAATTATGCTAGTAATGACTCGCTTTGTAGGATCTACAAGGACTGGATCTACAAGGACTGTCATTTGAATTCCTGTGACACTATGAGAGGACCCAGTTCAATTACCTGATGGAAGTATGCAGTCTGTTTGAAAAACTGAAAAAGCACTGCTTAGGGAACATCGATTAACACGTTCTAGCACACTTCTGATTACTTTAATCCAGTGAGTTAGCTCACCAGCAAATTGTCTGTTTTGAGATAACACAACTAGCTGACGCTGGGAATTCTATCCTTCAGGGAATTCCAGTATTTCAAAACCTTTTTTCTCCAGAATTGGAGAAAAACAAGGAAAAATACATTTTAAGAATTGATTTTGGATTTTCATTCAAGCATGTCATTAGAATTTATTTTTATTTCCAACTTATCATTACAACTGTTAATGTCAATAAGAAATAAAAAGGAGATTTAGCCACTTTTTTGATATAAATGAAGTTAAAAAAGACACAAATCATAAAAAGATACAAAGCAAATCATTATATTGAAAAAGAAGACTGATTTGAAAACTCTAATCTGTGCATGACTTCCAAGCTTTCTAAAATTGTGGAAATGACATAAACATCTGTTTCTCTGGCTGTCAGTATCACTGTCAATAAACTGCCTTACCCAATATCTCCTTCTCCCTTTGCTACCTGAACAGCTTGTTCCAGGGAAACTTATTCCACAGCTCACTACAGTTCACAGCAAGTCTCATTCCATGTAGAGGCATACCTGGGTGATACCACCACACTTATCCTAGACATAAATGACTCGGCATTGGATATGCCAAGACTGACAGACATTTTGTTATCAGCATTCATTTGTTCAGCATTTCAGCTAAGAAACCCTTGAAAATGTTTCTTAAAACTATCATTATCTGATGAGTAATCTAAATTTGCATTTTCAGTCTTTTATCTGCAGAAAGATCAGCAAATCTTACTTTTGTATATAAATTGCTGTCATCTTCATACAACCAACAGAATTTATTCTAATGGATTAATAAGCACTTTTCTGTGAGTTTCCAAAATTTCAAATAAACTGGATGAACAGATGAACATACATGAGATAATCTGTCTAGAATGGACAGAAATAAGCATCCTCCCAAAGCCATAAGTGCATTWTGCACATTTCAAGAACAAGCATCTATATAAACATCATCTGAGACAGTTTTGGATAGTCCAGGCTGCTTGACCTTTGCCAGGGTTGTAGATGTCCTCTCCATTTAACCAATCTGTTTATTATTGGAGAGCAGCTCACTTGCTTGGAGATATCCAAATATAATCTTAACACTGCTGGCCCATTTCTATTTAAGAGTCATTTTATGAGTCCTGATTGACCAAGTAATAGAGTGCAAGWTAATGCTACAAGCATTACACAGAAGAGACAAAAATAAAAGCTCTACTGTGCAGACAGGAGGGGTGAAGGGTCCATTGAAAAATCAGAGAGATTAGCAACTCATCACATTATATGTGGGTTATCAGGAGACAGAGGTAATGAAAGTGAGACCTATATCCTTGATCAATAAGAGTTTGACTGCATTTTGAGTTCATTTTCCCCTGCCGAGAGTGAGACAGCAAGCTTACTATTGATCACAGTGTTAATCCATAACTAGTCTGGGCCCTAGCCTAGTGGAACAAGGAGGAAAAATAAGATAATAAGCAGGAACTCTTGATCTTTTATTATGGTGTGCTAGATAAAGAGAGGGCAAGGTTCAAGGTGAAATTCTTTATGGTTAACCCCTTCTTTGCTGCTTAACTCCTACCACATGAATCAAAGTAAATTAGCCATGTCTCATTTTTGGAATAAACATTAAACTTGAACCCTATTGATAAATGCTTTGCAGTGATACCCATACAAGAACACACATTATCACTCTACCTTTCTTGAAAGCACAGAGGACAGAGCCACCCAATGTCATCCAAGTGCGATGTTAGGGCCACATACTCTGCCAGTGAATGGGTGTCATTCCCTTCTGGGATGTTCCCCCCCCCCCAGGCTGGTGGACCCATGCTACAGCATCCAGGAGGGAATAATCTCCTAAACTTCAGCAGCTGCTTCCTTTGGGAATAGCACATCCCGATCTTAGGATGTACAAAAGTTCCCATTGCTCAGGTGCTTACTCTAGCCTTAGTTATCAGCATGTCTAGATATTCTTCAGCCATGATTTTCTATTCCCAATGTTTTAAACTAATAGCATGTACAATAAAGTCAACTTAGTCTTTCCCATAGCAACAGCTCCCTAATGTCAGAGTCAGCAAGGATTTGGAGTTAAACAGCTGACAGGAAGTAGTGGCACTTTTTAATACATCCTGGGAATAACAGTACAATTCACATTGTCATCACAAAGGCATTTTTAAACCCATAAAAAGCCTGTAAACCATAGCTTAACTAACAGTATTTCTTGCAAYGCTTAAATAAATCTGGTCTCTTAAATGACAGAGTAGTGGAATTCTCTGTGCTACTGGAGATGTCTTTGGAAGAAGAGAGAGTGTGACAATAACMACGTGAATAGACTATACTAAGAATGGTTTTGTTTTCCTCAGCATTTAAGAGTCCCCTCTTCTCCCTGAACTTCTAAGAGAAAACATATAAGCTTGATCTGTCTTAAATTTTTCCCCCCCCCTCCCATAGCCTGCATCAATGAGCATCATTCCTGCTGAACTGAGAAAACAAAGATGCCTAGACCATCGGTGCAGAAGGGGGTACCCTTATAGCTCAGCAAGATTCTCAGCTGGGTGCTATTTTTGATCCTCTGGCATGGCCAAATTATAATTTAATTCTGCCTGCTAACATCAGGTTGTTACTTCAGCTGAGTACTGTCCATTTCAGCTGCACCAGCCTACAATTGACATATTCAGAGGGCACATATCACTAACTTGCAACCTTTATAGAGCTACCTCACAGTTCATTCATTTTACCTGTTGTGAAATGATTGCCGTTCACTATTTGCATGTTGCACAAGCTGAATCTCATAATTCCTGCTTGTAAAGCACTCCAAGGTTTTTGGAGAAACAAGCAGTAGAACTACAAAGCATCAAAGTTGTGATGCTAGATAAATAACTTCAGCAAGAAAAAGCTGATGACAGTTTCCACAGGCTATTACAAACACAGACCTGTGGCTGGATGTACTTTTCCAGCTGCGAGTGCCCTGTTTTCAGGTGTTCAACAGAGAAAAGATTAATCTTCAAGGGGTAGATAGCCAGATATTCTTTAGTGCTGAGCATGTTTTACACAAGGGTGTGAAATGCAGCTATGCACTGTAACATAAATCAATTTACAGAGAAAGCAAGAGGAGGAAAAATCCCATTGTTCTTCAGTTTAATAACATGAGAAAACACAGGGGAAAGTGGATGATAAGAGGAGTCCCAAGAAATGGCAGCTTTGCTAAAAAATATCAAATTGCCAAAATATTGCTCGAGGCAGCACCCACAGGTTAAGCAGAGTGGTTCTTCCTATACAGTATTAAGAAGCAGAGAGTCCTGCAGATCAAAAGCAAGCATCTTGTTGGCAGCTTTAGGGGCTATGTTTACTGGACTACTCTTTTTTTTTTTATAGTATCTCAGCAGTGCAATGCATATTATTAGTTTTACACTCTGAAAATACAGCTTTGACTGCAAAGGCCCAAATCTCTGACACCTTTAATTCAAGGTGTTGTTTTTTTTCCTTGACAAGGAGGTGTCCCCAAACGCTCTCATCTCATTTTTTGTCATGCACTTGAAAACACTCATTAAGTTAGCAATGAAAGGAGGTGGTTAGAGGAGAGGAAATCGTAAAGCATACACCTGCACAGGCGCTGCTTTTATAAGACTGTGATCTAAGTTGGGGTCACCAATGCCTTGATTTTCTTCCGCAGCTATTTATATATGCATGTGAACAAAGCATAGATTGGGGTGCTTTGAACAACATCCCCTAAACCTTTATGGATTGTATTTTCTCATTACAGCCTCCATTTATGCACATGTCAATACTGAGCACAATCCCTGCACACACAAATGTTGTCCTCGTCCAACCAAAGCAACAGCTTTAAAAATGTCACTCAAGATACATAGGAATTTAATAGAAAAAGCATTACCACGAGGTAAATTCTTCTCCCCACTCCTTACAGCAAAGGGACCACAGCTTGGAATTGGGAAACTTATCCCCGATAGACAAGTTTCACCTTACGTCTTGGAATAATAAAGTCATGAGTGACCAAGCAAGCCAGGAACCAAAGTGGGTTAAGTTATTCATCTTATCAAAGTCAGCAACCCACAAGAAAGGGAAAATTTAGAAGACTATTAGAAGAACAGTTCTGTATTGCTGGGTTTTGATTAGTTTATGATCAATCTTTCTTTTATAGGAAGACACTGGATAGCTAGAGGTGGTCTCTCAAGTTCACATCGGGTGCTGTCTGCTTTCCAAACCCAGTTGCTAGGTAGGCTAAGATACACTGCAAACAGTCTGAAAAAAATACTTAAAAAAACACTATTAATACCTTACATATCTTTTTGCCAATGTGACAAGACACAGTATAATTTAGCCATAATCCAACATTGAGTGCTACTGCACTCAGACACCCAGCCCAGTACTTTTGGGACACTTAAAATTGCCAGGAACAAAAGAGTAGACTTGGGCAGCAAGCATAGGCCAGAGCCAATCATACAGAATGGAGAGCCTAACCACCTGCACAGACAACAGCAAGAAAAATATTGCTTTGGAGCAAAGGAGAGTTCTTAAAATGGATTACATTCCCTCAGCTGTAGGAAATAAGCTCTTGAATCCTGGGGAGCTCAGGTAACCTCTGGGCAGCACAGCACTAGGGATGGTGCCATCTCATATCCTACTTCAGGCCTCCTTACAGACACCAATGTACATGCTCCTGCTCCCTAATTTGCACCATAGGAGTGGAGTGCCTGCTCCAGGAATATTCCCCCAGAATAATTTTGCTATAAAAATAACACATCTGTATGACTGTGTGGAAAGTGTTATATCAGACTTAACGTGAGAGCTGGAGGAAGATGGGCTTTTCCCTCTGTAGAAAGGAAAATTCCCACTTGTCAAATTATGAAATGTCATAAGTAGTAACTTTAATAATAATAAAAATAAGTTGATTAATTATTCTCCTTCTAAATGTCCACCAGTGACATGTAATTAAACAGGCTCTTTTATTTTGAAGGAATTTCTTTGAACATGATTTTGCTTTCATTGGCTTYTAATAAGATTTAATTCCAAAATTATTTAAAAAATGGAAATAAAAATAATTTGTTCAGAAATGTCCTCAGAAATTTCAAGAACMGGTTTAGTAAGGGCAGAGAGGGGCAAGCGATACCCCCTATCACCGCACAGCTGAGCCCAGCCTTGCAGCCACTCTGCATGCACTCAGACCAGCCTTCCCCAGTACCACCACACTGCCCATAAAAAATTAACTTTCAATTCAAAAAGATAATAAAATGCTTAAATACAACATATATTGTAATTAAACCGCAGGGTCTTAGCGCACAATATTACATCATTTCAGCTCCAGATTGTCAAACCTAACAGTAATTTCTGTAATTATTTAATATTAATTATAGGTCATCAACTAATATCTTCAACTAATTAAAGCTGTAATACAATTATGTAATTTATAGTTACTGTTGGGAAAGGTTAATTTGTCAAGAAAGATACAAGGTAAACAGAAGGGTTATTAAAACCCTATATAAACAGTCAATTCAAAACTTGAACTAAGCATAAAGAAATAATATACAAAAATAAATGCATAAATATTGTCTATACACACATCCATATCAGAAGATCTCAAAGCAACTGGATTTCATATAGTTTTTTCTTTCCTCTCATATGAAAGAACAGCTTGATTCTTATCCAATCATTATTTTTGCTTCAATGTTATTTTTTTCTTTTTTATTTTTTCCCTTTGAACTCTTTTTTTTTCTATGTTAGCCAAAAGATTTTTTTTAATGTTTAAACTATTTTTGCTACTCTATTCACAGAAAAAAAAGTTGCTTTTGCAGATATGTAACAATTCAAATTGCATCAGTAAAGTTTCCAGAAGCATAATTTAAAACTAACATTTGAAATATAATCAAGTTTTTATGTTTTCAAATATTTTGCACTTTTTTGTTATAAATTCTAAAAGGAATATTTTGCATTTTTCAGAGCTGTATTTCTGAGTACCACAAGCCTTAGGAAATGAGAGTTACCTCCAATGGGATTCGGACACGTGGGTTATCCATGGCTGAAGTTAGACAAAGAAGGCTCCAAGTCTCCAGAGGCCCTCAGATCCCAGTAGACACCACAGCAGCAATTGCATCTCCTACTTCTCTACTTAGAGCCAAATCTCACAGACTACTTTATACCCGAACAACTTGCCCTACCAGAATATTTTCTTTCCGAATTCAATAGAAATAACCTTGCTGAGGAACATACTAATACCAAACTTCTTGAGAACCTCTAAGAGTCATTACCTCTTCCTACAAACCTTCCTAGGTCCACGGACAAAGCAGGACCTTCTGAGCAAGGTGGTCATTTAAAGGATGACATGGGGAAATCATGCAAGTGAAAGCCATTACATCAAACAGGTGTGGTGAGATCAGAATCTATCCCCTGTGTTGGTTACTGACATATGCTAGCAAACAAGCAAATTATTACAGCAACCTGATGTGAGAATGGGGGTGTGGGGTAGAAATTTGCAGATGGTAACAAGGGCAAAAAAAAAAAAATGAAGAATGAATTTTAAATCTGTGCAGCATAACATTTTAGCACCAAAGTGAGCATTTAGTACCAAACACCATTAATTAACATTTCCATAGGCTTTTTATTAAACGCTTGCTCAGCAAGTCAAGTGCCTTTCAAGCTCGGAACAGCTGTGAATGTATAAAAATATATTGACACAGATATACTCATGCATGCAAATAAATGTACTTCTTTCATTTGTTGTGAACAATCGTTGCTATATTATAGCTTCTTTGAAAGTTGAAAATTGATTTGTATTAACCTGAACTGCAGAAAGAGAACATATGTTACTACCTGTCCTAGTCCTATAGTGTTTTAAGCAAAACTTTGTAGCCTCCTACAAAAAGATATTTCTTTCTTTTTCCTTTGTTCCAACTGCACACACCACATAAAGGGGTATGAAGCTCTTGTTTCACTTAAAACATCCCTGTTAGGGCTACTCAGTGCCCACTTAAGCTTGGTTTTATAGACAAACAAGAAATAGAAAAGGCATAAATTCGGTCTAAAAGAATGTGCTGTAATGAGTAGTTATGTTACTAAGTGCTTGCTAATGCCACACACAGTTAGCAGTCACCTGATAGCTTTTGTTTTTACCTTGTGATAGTAACTAAATTAATTTATTTCCTAATAAAATAATTCAGGTTGCTGARAAAATACAGATAAGTAGACGGAATCCTTATTAGGATCATCAGCATTAACACAAAATCCTTTTGTACTCATTAAAGAAAATACAGTCAATTTAATTAATGCACATTAATCCCTAGTTGACATTAAAATCAGCTAAAAAAACAACATTGATATAGAATATTAAAATGAGACATAGAAAGTGTTAAAGGTGGCCCCTATAGGAAGAAAAACATTGCTGAAGATCTGTGTTTCCCTTTTTGTATTAAAAATGGAATCCATATGGAGCCACTGTCGCCTCTCCCCTGCTCTAAGGAAAGTTTGCATCCAGAAGTCATTTGCCCGTGGGACTCAGGAATGGCAAGGAATACTGGAAATGAAAGGTTGTCCCATGCAATGGGGACATGGAAAAGCCCTTTTCCTTCTCATGCTAGTCCTATGCTGGAAATTAAGTGGGTTTTGCATAGGATACTGGGTTCTTTATCCCAAATATCCTTTTTGTAATTTTATTGCTCTGGCCCTGATTCAGCAACGTGTTTAGGCACTGTAGGGACCCCGAGTATGYGAGTGATTTCACCATTGTTCGGCAAAACATTCAGTCTCATGTTTTGTTTTGGACATGAGATGTCTCACTGAGGTCTGGGAGATACCTCACATGGCTCCAGTTAGGCAGAAACCACTCTCAGGAACCCAAGATGTAGTGGGTTTCAATGGGCAACTCAATATCCAGTCGCATGCTCTAAAACCCAGAAAAACATCGGGAGCTTGGTGTTTCAGTACTGAGWTTTGCTGCAAAAATGCACTAGGCGTCCAACTCCATAGAGGGCTTGGGGCTTGTAGGATTCACCCAGGACTTCCATTTTCTCTTCTGCTTCCTGGTGTGCACTCTCATCACCAGGCTGCAGAACCACTGCCATGCTTGCATGCTCTCTCCATTGCAATTTCATCTGTAACGTGGAATAACTTCAAGAAAAGGTAATGTTCTTCCCTCCCCTCCCACCAGCACCGGGGCAGGAGCTCACATCCTTTCAGATGGAAGAGGGCCTGGAACCTAGATCACCATCTCTGTGGGCTTACTGCATTCCACAAGGACTTGTGAGGAAGAGGCAAGGAAAACACCTCTTCCAGAAGGTACAAGACAGCGGAGTAGCTTCCTTTTCTCACCCAGTTTATTTTCTCTGCTCAACATGTTGAGAACTCCCTGTAGACAAGTCTCCATGGACAAATGTGGAGGCTCAATTGGAAAGAGCTCCTAGAAAAAAAAAAGCAGAAAACATCAAGCCGTGCAAGGCTTGCAATATTCTCTTCCTAGCATTTTGTGGAGTGGGGTCCAAAGCCATTTGTTTGTGAAAGGTGAGGGTTGGCCAGATAGCGATGTTCAGTGTGTAGCTTGCAACTGAAGATGGCAGAAATGCTTGCTGTAAGAAAAATGTGTTCAATTCTGGTTTAAAATTCTTGTGTACATAGTAAAAATCGATTCATGTGTATAGAATAAGAGATCGATAATGTGTAGCTGTGTTTCTGTACATAGGTATTTCTAAAATACCATTCGATTCACAGCAGGCCATATTTAAGTTAACGAGAGCTTTGYCGTTGATTTTTTGGTTACATTTCACTTTCTTTATAGCTCTTCATTGGTACCTGGCATTTTGACTGTGTACAGATTTAAACTCCAGAGTGAGGAATTTTTCCTTTTCTCTACCATTTCTCTCTTCTGTTAAAAGCCTAGACACTCCCTTCGCTATTGATTACACTCGCAGACTTATCTTCAGCTTATAAGTTGTTTTATTCACTACTTAAAAATGAAGATAAAAGATCAAAAAGGAAAAAGTGAATTGTGTGATTATCCCATTAACAGTGTGTTTTTGAGAACCAACCCACTGCTAACAAAATAGAAGAACATTGATTTTTTTTCCTATTTTTTATGGCATGACATGTTCCAAACTATGATAAGGTTTTGGGCTAATTAAATAGGAAGTAAGGTTTATTCATGTGCGGTTTTTTTCTTATGATAGATGTTAGCATGTCGAGCCTTTGCTTCTTTTTTTTTTTAACTTCATATTTTAAAGTTTCCTTTTAAGTGTATGAAAAATGAGTAAAAGTGTCAAGCCTTATCACACATGACCTTGCTTTTTGGCTAGCCTCTTTCGCTTATCTGTCAAACACATTACTCTCCCCATCATAACGTGGTAGTGCAAACATCGCAGCTGGCCAGCAAACATGACCAAAGCTACCTTTAAACTACCTCTAGGCTCTTTAAACTCAACTAAAAGGCTGATTAGGTTCCACCTCTTTGGTCATTATCTCCTCCTGATAGCCACGCGATGAAAAAGCAATCTAGTAAAAAGCTGCCTCATAGGAAAGCGAGGTAAAGTGTGTGCTCGCCTAGGACGGGGTACTTAAGGAAAACAATTTATTCGTTTGTCATAACCAACTGTGTAAACTAGTTTAGTTGTTTGCCGAGGCTCGGCACGAACAAACGTTGTTGTTTCCTCCTGCGAAGCCTCGGGACGAGGGGAGGGAAGCTGGAAACGGGACGGTGCCTCCYGGCCCGCGCAGCGCCGCGCACCCCGCGCGCCAGCGGTGCCCAGGCGAGGGGGAAGGACCCGCAAACGTCCCGCAAGGGGTTTGCACCCCCTGTGCGGACAGGGAGGTACCTCACGGAGGGATCCCGCATCCCTCCTCGGGAAAGTCGCACCGCTTTCCTATTGCTGCCAAGGGACGCCTGTCCCGTGATTGACTASGAGATATATTACCCCTCACTAGTTCTTTGATCCGTTCTCCCTCMCTATGAGTTATCTTTTTTTTTCCCCCCTTTTCTTTACAAAACAAATTTAAAAGGGAGAGATTAGGGAGGGGAGGGAGAGGCTGCCAAGGCTGTGGCAGGGAAACCGCCGGCCTTCCTGGGGCAATGTTTGCTCGGGACTCCTTCGCACAATGCAAACTATTCAGGAATCGGGCTGTAGGACCTGGCACTAATAAGCCCTAAAACAACATATAGGCTCCATTCCCTTCGAGCCCAGGAATCGTGTTTTTAAGCGTGGTTTATCCTATCGTCACAGCAGAGCAGGTAGCGTGGCAAAGCCCCCGCGGTGCAGTCGAGGGGCGCACCTTGCTTTCTTCCTGAAGTGGAATTTGGGCTATAAAATCACCTTTCCCGGCCAGCTGAGTGGGTCCCAGTACAGGTGGTGATAAAAGATGGGATCCGGCCCCATAAAACTGTAATAAACCCTCTGAACAGGAGCAGTGTCCGGGAAAATAAYGCTGGAAATGCTGGGGGCTCCGGGTACACCCGAGCATCAGCGGGGACCCTGGCGACGAAGGGGTTACGAGCCCAGCGTCTGGGGCCACTTGTCACAAGCACCCACAGGAAAAAAAAATATAAATTACTGATTAACGTGATCTGTCAACAMGCCTTTACCCCGTGGGACCGGAGCCGATCTATTAGCTGGCACCTCCTTTGCCATCTCCCTCACCTTGGGGAGCCTTTGCATCCCTCGCCTGGCCCTGAGTCACGGGTAAATATTGGCAGGTGCCAGGCTGTGCCCGGGGTCCCCGCCCGGGCTGGCACCTCCCAGCGCCGCTGCCAAGACCGGGGCCAAATGCCGGGCACAGCCTGGTGCCAAGCGCGGGGGCAGCCAGGGGCTGCGATGCTCAGGTGTGTGTATATATATATATATATGTGTATATATATATATATATAAAAATGTATAGATAGGTATTCTCTCTATGTATGTACATATGCATATATGTGTGTATGTATGTATATATATTTAAAATTAATTATTCCCCTAGCCCAGAGCCCAGCGTGGCTTCACGTGGAAGAACCGCTCAGGAAAGAGCACCTTGGTTCAAGCAGCACATGAGGGGCTAAAAGTAGCGCCGGGGACCCAAGCAGCTGCAATGAAAGCATCTTGCTTAAATTAATTCATCGCGGACCTTGTGAAACAATTTGCGGGGCAGGAAGGCTCTGGGCTGCTTTCTCTTTCTTTTCTTTTTTATTTTGCTTAGATATTTTAAGCCCTCTCCGGGGCAAACTGCAACAAGGAGCCGAACGACTGTCRGAACTATCTCACCTGGAAAAAATGAATGGGGAAAAAAAAGCTGATGACTAATTCC